CCAGCACTCACCAAGAAGCCCATTAGGTAGAGACAGAGCAGGAAGCTGCGGTCTCGGAGGGCACCAGGGTCGGGAACCCCCGCCTCGGCCCCTGTCCTTTGCTCTTGCTGAGACTCTGGTGTCGCCGAGGCCAGCCCCGGGGCCGAGCCCTGGCCGCGGCGGCCCCCGATCTCCATGCAGACCCGGCGGGGGTACGGACTGCCGGGGACGCCGCCGCGGGGAGCACTGCGCTCCGCGCTAGCCCCGCCCCCAGCGGAAGCGCGGCGCGTGCGCCTGCGCAGAGCGGGGCGCCGCGCAGCCGCTGGCGGGCGCCAGAGTCGCTATCAGGCAGGTGAGTTCAGCCACGGTCGGGCGTGTGCCACCTGCATGTGCAGGACGCGCCACTTTTGTGATGGTAGTGATGATGCTCCACGTTTACTGGAGTAAAGACCTGGCCTGCCGCCCCTCCCGTTGAAGGGTGGGAGGGAATGGTGATGCCCTTCATTCACCTCAGAGTTTGCCTTGTCAAGGAAAGAGCATCCAGATTTAGAGAAAAGTTTTCTAAGAGTTTATTTGAGCCAAATTTTGATGATGTACCTGGAAGCAAAAAATCTCAACGGGATGAGAACGTGCTCTGCAGAATGGCAGTTTTGTGGCTTGTTTTATGCATTAGACTCAAAAGAGAAAGTGCAAGGAAGGTGCGTGAATCCATTGATGGTGGGTGAAGGCTGGAGAAGGCCAATGAGGGATGGGGGAATCTCTAGGATTGGATAAAAAGTAAAATAGAGAGATATACACTTCTTCCAAGCTGGCAGGTACAGGGTCGGTAATGAACACTTAGAGCACATAGAGATGGCAGGCGGGCAACGAGATTACGATGAAGGGTTTCATGCTCTCATGCTCTGGTGCCTGTGGTTCTGCCTCAGAGGCATCTGGAAAAGAAAAGCACTCTAGCCTTTTAAAGGTATGTTATCCTAGATGCATAAGAACAAGGGATAGGGCTCAGTTAATGTAAAGATTCACCTTTGCTAAGGAAGCTCTAGTCCTGGGACGTGACTTCCCGCTACGTGACCTGTCCAATTAGGAATTTGTGTTCAGATCATCCCGTGTGATTACTTTTGGTCACTGAGCTTCTCAAGCCTGTTTTGTAGCTCACCAGTAGCTTGTCAGGTTTATTGTATAGCACCTTTTTTGTTCCCAAGGTCAGCCGTGGTGGTGACCAGCTTCAGTTGAAAGAGCCCAAGACTTAGGGCACTAATGGCTGTGACTGACCTGGAGTAAGTTGATGTGATCCCTCCACGCTTCAGTTTGCATATTTGAAAAACAGGAGGAAATATTGTAAACCAACCTCATAGGGTTGTGAGAATTCTACAAATGCTCACTGAGTACTTTTCCTGGTACTGTGCAAATGTGAATAAGACAGATGGTCTCTGCCTGAGTCAAGCTTACACTTTCCTGGATATTAATAATAAATATACAATAAGTAAACATGATAAATAAAAAATAAATATACAATAAAAGAAAATACAGTAAATAAAATAACATTGTGACAGTGGGGTAAGAAAGCGTGGTCTCAACGTGGAGATTAATGAGGTGACTGCTTTAGAAAGGCAGCTTCCAGAAGGTGACATGGAAGCTGTGAAGAGTCAAAAGGAGATAGATGTGGCTGAAAATTTCTGAATAGAGAGATCAGAGAGGTAGGCAAGAATATAGATTATTCAGGATCTAAAAGGCCATGAAGAGCTTTGGGGTTTTACTCTGAGTGCAGTAAAAGGAGTTAAGTATGTCTATAAATCACTTAGCACAATGCTCAACACATAAGACCTTAATAAATATTAATTATGGTTAGTCATCCCTCTTTTATTTAGGAACTCATATCATTACTTAGTCCTCTCTCTGGTATCAGGAAGAGTCAGATTTTACTGAGATTTTGATGAAAATCTCAATTTCGTTGTGCAGGTTGCTGAATTCATCTGTTGAATTCAATGTTGCAGAGTTTCTCATGGGAAACTTAAGGTACTGTTTGGGAGAGAATGAGATAATGAAATTTACAATGAAACATGTGGTTAGATCCAGATGGAACTGATAATCTTGAACCTACAAGTCACTTTGAGCATCCTTTGCCAGTAGGAGTTTGTCCTTCTGTATCTACTGAAACTAGTCTTCGTGTACTTGAAAATTTTGTGATTTCCTCATCCAGAGTAGAGTGACTTGAAGGGGGATACTCATGTTCCTCCAGATCGATCAAAACAGCCTACTGTGGTTACTACATAAATAGCTAGGGTAAAAAACCCCAGCATGCTATCAGGGGGCAGGTAGACACTATGACCTTGCAGAAAATTGCTCTCACCTAAAGAGTTGAAAGACTCTGCTAATATATAGCCAGCAGAGAAGTTGGAGGTCTCTTGGTCTCTTGGACAATTCCTTACAACTAGTTGACTGAAGAAGAAGCAACTGAGGATGGTTTACAAATGGATCTGCATGATATTCTGGTACCACTTGAAAGTGTGCAGCTGTAGCACTGCAGTGCTACACAGGGGTGACTTTGAAGAATAGTGGTGAAGGAGAATTGTACCATTGGTTGGAACTTCAAGTAACATTTTGGTTGTTCACTTTGCCTGAAATGAAAGATGGCCAAAAATGAAGTACACTATTCATGGGCAATATCTAACATGCTGGTTATAACAGACTTGGAAGGTTGGTGATAAGTCTAGAGAAGAGATGTGGATGGGTGGCTCAAATGGGGCACAGGATGGAGAAGATATTTTTGTCCCACGTGAATGTCTACTACAGAGAAAGCTCTTAATAATCAGGTGGACAAAATGATATGATTTGGGTGTCCCTATCCTCACTAGTGTTTCTTCAATGGGTCCACAAACTAAACAGCTGAGGTGGCAGAGGTGGAAGCTATATATGGCCTTACTCTTATCAATGAAACTGCTCAATTTCTAAAATATCAACAGCAGAGACCAACATTTAGTTCCTGTTGTGTCACTGTTCCCTGGGGGAACGACCTAAAGGAAGGTTGATTTTACTGGACCTCTGCTGTTACAGAAGGTGCAGAGATTGACCCTTAGTGGAATAAACAAGTGTTCTGCATATATATTTGCATTCTCTAGTCCTACTACTTCTGACAACAGCACTATCCATGGACTCACAGAATATCTTATCTACCACCATAGCATTTTACAATGTACTCATTTCACTGCAAATGAAATAAAGCGACAGGATCACCGTATTGAATTAACTGACCTTACCACATTATTCCATCACCCAGAAGAGCCTGGCCTAATCAAATGAAGAAATGGCTTACTGAAGGCTTGGTTACAGAGCTAAATAGGAGACAATACCGTAAAAGTATGGAGTTCTGTCTTAAAGCAGGTGTTATATTCTTTGAATTAGAGACGGTTATATGGTGCTATCTCCTCCATAACCAGAACATATAGTTTGGGAATCAAAGGAGAGACATGGTAGTAGCTTCTCTCACTGTTATAATAACTTACAGAGCATTTGCTTCCCCTATTGGCAGTTTTGAGCTCTCTGGTTTTGAGGTCTTTGATCCCAAGAGAGCAATGAGTCCAGGAGTCATAGCAAAGGTTCTATTGAATTAGAAGATGAGATCTTACATTTTTGATGTCATAATTTAGATTTTTTTTGTTTTGCGGATTACCCTGACTACTTATTGTAGTTATAGTTTATTTTGCTACTTTCGTCTTTTAACCTTCATGCTAGCTTTTTAAGTGTTTGATTCACTGTGTTTATTATATATTTGTTTTTACCAGTGAGATTTTTCCTTTCATGTATTTTCTTATTTCTGGTTATGGCCTTTTCTTTTCTGCTTAAAGAAGACCCTTTATCTTTTCTCATAAAGCCAGTTTAGTGGTGATGCACTCCTTTAGTTTTTGCTTGTCTAGGAAACTCTGCGTCTCTCTTACAATTCTGAATGACATCCTTGCCAGATAGATTATTCTAGGTTGTAGGTTTCTTTTTTCAGCACTTTAAACGTAATCTACCACTCCCTTCTGGTTTATAAAGTTTCTGCCAAGAAATCAGCTAATAGGTGTTGCTCTTGTATGTGACTAGTTGCTTCTCTCTTGCTGCCTTCAAGATTATCTCTTTAACTTTTGCCATTTTAGTTGCAGTTTCTCTTGGTATGGATCTCTTTGGATTCATCGTGTTCAGAACTGTCTGTACTTCCTGGACATGGATGTCTGTTTTTCTCCCCAAATTAGGAAAGTTTTCAGCCATTGTTTTTTTCCAATTAAAATTTCTGCCCCTTTATTTCTCTCTTCTTTTTTTTGAATCCCTATAATGAGATTATTAGTATGCACGATATTGTTGCAGAGGTTCCTTAAACTATCCTCATTTTTTAAATAAAAGTAAATTATTATTTTTTATTTGTTTGCTGTTCTGTCTGGGTGATTTCTACTATTCTGTATTCCAGGTCATTACTCTGTTCTTCTATATTATTTAATCTGCTGTTGATTTCTTCCTGTGTATTTTTCATTTCATTGATATTCTTCAGCTCTAATTGTTGTTTGATTATTATTATTATAATTTCTAACACTTGAAATTCCCACTGAGTTCCTTTATTCTACTCTCAAGTTTGGTGAGCAGCCTTATGACTGTTACTTTGAATCCTTTAGCAGGCAAATTACTTATATCTGTTTCATTAGAGTTTTTTCTGTTCTTTTTTGTTGTTGTTGTTTTCCTTCATTTAAAACGTGTGCCTCAGTCTTCTCATTTTGTTTGACTTTCTCTGATTGTTTCTATGAATTAGGTGAAATAGCTATCTCTCCCTATCTAAAAAAAAGTGGCTTGTGTAGAAGTGACCTTACAATAGATTGTGTGTGGTTTTGGCAGGCTGGCTGAAGCTGGATTGTGTGTGCACAGTATGAAGTGCCAGCTGATGGGGCCCAGCAAGCTTGGGATGGGGAAGCCATGTCAGTGTGTGTGTGTGAGTGTGCGCACGCGCGCGCACGTGTGCGCACGTGTGTATGCGCGCGCACACTGGTGTCCTGTTAGTCCAGCTGTCTGGAGCTGAAGCGGGCTCAGTCATGGAGCCCGTGTGCTCCTGCACAGCAGTGTCCAGGCTGTCCAGGCCAGAGCTAGCTCCGGGTTAGGCAACAGGGAATGCTACGTGGTGGCCATGCAGACTGGTCAGAGCACTTGGATAGAGGTTCCACTTGCATTATGTAGGTGGGAGGGGAATGTAAACAATTGTGTTCACTGGCACCTCCAATCCCAGAGAGTTCCTACAG